GAGCCTGATGCGGGGCTCGATCCCAGGACCCTGGGATCATGACCTGAGCCGAAGGCAGACGCTTAACGACTGAGCCACCCAGGCGCCCCTATTTTAATTCTTTAGTATTCATATGTCTTATGATTTAAATGCATACTAGTTCTGAAGATGAAGTGGATGTGCTTTTACATGGAACTCCTGACCAAAAACGAAAACTCATCAGAGAATGTCTTACTGGCGAAAGTGAATCATCTAGTGAAGATGAATTTGAAAAAGAAATGGAAGCTGAATTAAATTCCACCATAAAAACAATGGAGGACAAGTTATCCTCTCTGGAAACAGGTAAACTTTTAGTTAGATTTTCATATAGATATTTTTCTAAGTTCCACAAGGGCAGGAACCTTATGCTCTGCTGTGTCACCAGCACTTTGAGCAGGTGCTCAATAAATATTTATTGTGAATGAATAAATATGTTTGGCAACTTGAGCATAGTTTTCTTTGATGACTAGTGAAGAATTTTCCTGTGTTGTTGAAATGACACTATTAGTATTGTTTACTTGCATGATTTCCTTTTGTAATTTTTACCCCAGGATAAAAAAGACACACGAGCTTATAGAGGTATTTTTAGGGTTATATAGCACTGATATAGCAGATTGAATGGTCACCACAAATTCCTGTCTCATTTTAGTAAGTAAGTAATGAAAGTAAGTAATGAAACATACTTCATTTTGATACTTCATTTTTATGTAAAGTGTACCTGACCCAAAAACTGATTTGTGCCTCAGCTTTGGTTTCCATGTTAGGAACTGAAAGCATATGTAATAGTAATAATAAAAGCAAAAGAAGATGTTAATTAAGAGGAAGAATTAGGGACACAGGCATGTGATGACATGAATATAGTGTGAGTCATGGCACTAGGCACAACTGAGAAGAGAAGAGTGTGTCCTTGAATCATGCCCCCCTGCCTCTCTGTAGTGCTCTTATTTTCTTCCCCCTGAAGTCGCTTACAACGAGATGTTTATTTCCTGTCCTTAACAGTGTACTGCATGGCTGAAAGGTAGAGATATGTATGGTGGCAACCTAGGAATAGGCTATTTTATTGAATTAGATTTGTGAGAGGGTGAGAGAAAAATTTTCTCATGATTTGGAACACTTCATTACTGTAATTAACAATTATAGTTCTCTGTAATTGCATAGGGCACAGAAATTCAGTAAGTCATTGATGTGGAAGTATTTTTTCATCCAAATGAGATTGGGAATGAGTTGATAATTACTTTGAGGTGATGGAAGAATAAATTGAGTTTTTTTTTCTTGTCAATTGTGTATGGTTTAGTCTGTAAACTGCCCTTATGTAAATAGGGTCTTCCTCAGGAACTGGAAAAGTTGGAACAGCTCTGACAAAGTACTATGATGATATATATTTTGATTCTGATTCTGAGGATGAAGACAAAACAGGTAAGTAGCATGTTTACCAGGTTTAGCTGTTACATTTTGTAGAAAAAAGGTTTACCTAACAATTATTGGATATTAGAATTTCCCTCTGAATTTTATCTTTTAAGAAATTGTAGGCTGTTGATGTGAAAACAAAAGCAGGAATTGATGGGAATGCACATATGAGGACATGGGACCAGCAAGGATGCTGCATGGGCATTCCAGGGGTGAGGGAGAGTGTGTCCTGACTCAGTCCTGACTTCCTCAGGGCTTGTGGCCCCCCTCTTCCTTAAGGTTCCTTAGCTCAGCAACATTTGCTTTCACGCCGACAAATAGTTTCTGTATTTTTACAGAAAATATAGAAATTTAGATAATCTTTATATTTTGCAGAAGTTTTTCTAACTCATTGCTTTTTTATCAGCTTCTCTGTTCTCTGGAATTGATTTTGTATAAAATGTGAGCAAAGGTGAACATAATAAGAGTTAAAATTGATTTAGTTATATCAGGAATTACACTGGCATGCACAAGTAACACATTTATATGGTAAAGAAACAATTAGATGCTCAACTGACTGTGCTACCCAGGCACCCCAAGAAATAATATTTTTATATATTATTACCTAAATATTAACCTACTTAAGTACTTTAAAAGTCTAGTGCATGTGGATAACCGTAGTGGTTTTTCATCTTTTTTTTTTTAAAGATTTTATTTATTTATTTTGAGAGAGAGAGTGAGACTGTGCGCGTGCATGCCTACTTGTGTGAGTTGGGGGAGGGGCAGAGGCATAGGGAGAGAGAACCTCCAGCAGGCTAACCCTGAGTGTGGAGCCTGACATGGGGCTTGATCTCATGACCCTGAGATCATGATGCAAGCTGAAATCAAGAGTCGGATGCCCAACCAACTGAACCACTCAGGTGCCCCTGTTTTTTTCACTCA